CGGTTGCTGGTCACGGCGTTAATGCGAATTCGTGCTGCAGTTCAGCCGGATCTATATCCGATTAAAATTCAAAGTCTGTTTCTTGAAATGAACTTTTTGGGCATTATGCCAACGTGGCGGAATTTTAACGTTTGAATTGCCGCTGCACTTAACAATCAAGCGTTGGTTAGCGGATGTTTGCAGTGTTAGCTTGAGCCGTACTTTTTGTTTGGTAGTTCTGCATACCTTGCTGGAGGGGAGTGGATACCAGCTTGGTGTAAACTAATTACTTTTATAGAGTGTGATTTAATTCTAGCTTTGTAGTTTGCCTGTCTGGATACTTCTTAAGTTAAAAGTAGTCATGGGAAGGGCGGTTTTTTAAACGTCTAGATGAAGAGCGAATGCAGGGTCAGATAACGGAGCACAATGAACAGCAAAATATTGAAAATGACATTTGAGTCCTATACTGGGTACGGCAGGCAACTGCAGGACAGTTACATTCTAGTATTTTTATTTCGTTGCTTGTGCTGAAATTCTTGCAAGGGAGTAGCTGCTGAACGTCGGTGAAAATCTAAGCCATAACATTTATTTTTGAGTATATTTAGAAGCAAATGTTTGCCACCGCAAATCCCTTATTTTTGCTTTGTATGACAAGTTGTCTCTTCTACCCTTAGACTATATGTACCATTCGTGTTTATGTAGGTGAAGTTAGAGCAGGTATTGTTATTGTTAAGCACAGTTTTAGCGTAAAGCTACGGTTGGTGACCTGATGGTTCTTCATGCTCTTCATTTTGGGCAGTTTACCTTCTATTAAAACAGTCGCACGTTCTTTATGCATTTTTCACCCAACGTTATAAAGCAGTGCTATTGACATGTGTTGTGTGGAAATCATGGCTGAAACATAGTATATCAACCTCGCGTAGTATGCTTTGCTCCGCTTTCAAAGAAAGTCTTGTGTGAGTATAGTTGTGTATTTGTTGGGTAACAGCTGGAGAATGTTTTTGTGTAAGCATTAGTTCTCGCAAGCCATAATCCTGACTTTCCGTAAACGCCATCTCGAGTGGTTTCGCACACAATGTGCTTCTGAGTATCTGCTTTTCGTCCTGGCTTATCTGGAAATGTGATGCTTAGGGTAAAATGGATTTCATCGTTTTGAAGGGGGTTATAATTGAAACCACTCTGACGGGCATCAAAACGGTCTGGGTTTAAAGCTGCTTAAGATACAGTTCATTGTCTGTAAAAAAGAAGAAAGAAAAGTTGAGTGAGGGACGGCACATTGGTTTGAGATCTTTTTAGATAAACTACCGTATAATTACATAAGGCCAGTTATAGAGGGCTTAAGTTTGTTCGAAGTTTGAGGAAATGTTTATCAGCTAAAACAGGTGCCATAAGTTCCTTATCAGTAGACCAAAAAGTTTCGAGGAAAAAATAAAGCTGACTTTTAGTTGCTCATTGTTAACTGCAGAAATGGACTGTTGGGGCTGCTGAACACCTTGGTCTGTAAAAGAGAAAGGAGGAGGAACTGCATTCAAAAATATGCAGTAGTTTTGAGAGCTGTAAGATAAGATTATATATCAAATTATATATATTCACGCTGTTGATTTCCTCCTAGTGTTAGCAGCTGTGATCTATGAGATCTGTAGCTTTATCGCTTGCAAACGGCGAAAGATGGAAATTTAGCCTTTTAGTTTTAAATTTATATGCGGTTCATGTGAGTTTTGCTGGGAGAAAACAAGTACTTTTTGAGTGATTGTTTTTGTCGATTTTGGAGTTAATTTTATGAATCGGAATTGTGAAGTGTCGCATTCCTAACCGGTCCAAAATCGTTTGTTTTATGTTGGAATCACATTATATTGCAATGGACTTCTCCAGTTGCTCTCGCCACGGCAGACTATATATAACTGACTGCCCTGTAGTAGCCTCAGTTCTTTATTCTTTTATCCTATGAAACAGAAGATTCAAGAAAAAAGATTCTTCATTCGGGAATAAACGACTGGCTGTGACCTGTTTTTATAATGCAGGATTACGCCGTTTTGTTTGTAATTGGAAAAAATGCGAACGTTTAAGAAAGCCGAAGTTTGGAAAGAAGGGGGAAAAAATACTACACTTTTCACATTACTTTAGGATTTGTTTTTCTTTGGAGCATGATTTTTTTCAAGCGCTGCCGCTGTGTGTGCCTGTTGTTTTTCCGTTACAGAGTCAGTAGGTCTAGCGTGTTTAAATGGTAATCTCTTTTATATTGATGGCTTGGACGATGCTGATTAGGTCACTCTTGTCCAGTGAACAATTCCATTTTTACCTTTATGTCAGGAGGAAACAATATCTGTTTGTAAAACCGTTTTCTTTTGTAGTGTCTCTTTGGCTGTATCGTCTTTGCAGAGTCACTTGCCTTTTTGTCGTTTTTTTTTTTTATTGCTTCCTGTGAAACTGCATCACTCAGTATATTTTTTCCTGTACGGATCCTTCCTCACTTTAAACTGAAGCCGTTTGCTATAAAGGTATTTGTAGGTTGTTTTTTCTGACGTTAATTCGTCTCGCTGCACAAGCTCTTCGTTTCAAACTTGTTGGAGCACAAATTTGTATTGTCTTCAAAGTGCAGTTTCCGCTGGACTTTAGCTTCGCCACATTTACCCATCTCATATCTTTAAATTACTGTTTACTGTCAAAACGAGGTTGACCCGACTGCGTGCATAAGTCTCTCATTCTTTACCTGAATTCACGTAATAACCATCAGCTTCCTATATTGCTTCTGCCGTTCTGTCGCCTAATTTTTTAAATTCCTAGGTTGTTCTGGCTAATCTATGAGATTGTTTAGGCCGGCATCATTTTGTGTTCTTCTCACTTTGTAGCTACATACCATGACAAGCAAACTGCCGCGCTAAACCAGATAACCATCGGCAGCTTGTTTACCGGGGATTGCTGACTTTGTGCCTCACAATGTTCGCATCGCTTCTTTAGCACGATTTGGGGAAAGTGAAGAAGACTGCTGTTTTTTTTGGGGAACCCTCTTTAACATAATGAAAACGAAGTACTGCTGTTTAAGACTCGAGCAAATATACTTTTTAAGTATAGTAGTAAGATCTACCAGCTTTATAGCTTACAGTTCTTATTCTAGTTTTTTTAACAGTTTGAGACTCACTAACATAAATTTGTGGATTGGTAGTTTGAAAAAACACAAAATTTCTTATTTTAATTGGCAGTAGTCATCCTTTTAGTTTATTCTTGAAGATAGCTTTGTTTAAGGACACTAACAGTTTATACAGCTTTGAAGGTTATCTTTTAAAGTAGTCTGGTAACACTTTATATGGCCGTCCGATTTGCAGTTCCTTATATAAAAGTTTTTGAGGTTAAAATGCATTTGTTATGTCTTTAAGAAAAGAATTTGAAGCTGGCCTGACTATTGTAGGTCTGGGGAAGGTCTGAGTGCAGTTGCATTTGGGCAACTGTACGAAAGAAGTGTGTTTGTTACTTATTAAAAAAGCAACTTGCACGTATCCTCATGAGCATGTGCAGGTTTGTTTGGGAGTCGAATTGGGTGGAAGTTGGAGCCACTAAAAGTTGGTTAGACAAAAATGGTACTTTCTTTATGTGTATATTTCGTTCTTTTTTCTGTCTTAAAAATTGTGTTGATTATCGATTCCATATTGAAAACAGTGAAAAACACAAGACCTATTTTCGTCTAAAACTTGCCTGGGAGGTGTTTTCGACATCTTGTGTATTTTTTTATCTGTTTGTTACTGAAGACTTTTGCGAATTAGAAATATTAGACGCCTTCGCACGTTCAGTTGCTGCTTCCAGCAAGGATATATACTTCTTCGGTCTACGTAGCGTGGTCAAATAGTCATTGGAAGTGTATAGGAAGCAGGGATGGAAAGTTTTGACCGTGAAGTGGGATTAAAAGCTTTGCTGAGGGATGCTCATTTACTTTTTCGTATTTAGTGCAAAATTACGCCTTAACATTGTTTCCCGTCTCGAAGTCATTTTTACCTTTGATCACTATTCTGCAGAAAGCCATTACGCGTTGAACTGAGTTTTTTTTATTAAAGGGAAGAAAACTGTAGTGAACTAGTTTGCTGTATTTGTTAGCGGTGCTTCTGTTATCCTGGGTTTAAATTGCTCCCGTGATTGGTCATTTCTCAATTTAAGTAAAATCATTTGCTAGGTTTTATGATCAGCTACTACGTCTTTCCTCAAATTAGTTTATTTCTGACGTTACAGCTATTTTATCCTCAGTGTTAGATCCTAGTCTGCACCTGGAAGTTCCAGTTTTATTTTCTCCCGTTGGTTCCCGATCTATTAAGTTTTAATGTAACCACGCTGAAGGAAGGAGTAGGGTTCACATCCGGAAGACTTCACCTCAAAATCCAGACTTGTTTCTAGCCATTCTTCTTTAGTGTTGTAGAAGCTTGTTTAGTACAATTTTTTCATTAAAAAAACAACAACAGGCTGACAAGTTTTTAAAAAGAACGTGCACAATACAGATTTCAACCAAAATATATAATCAAACAGAGACTGTACAACTTCAATGGATATATTAATTAATAGAAGTACATCTTCTTTCAGATGAAAGTTTTGCATGCAAAAGGTAGTTAAAGAAGTTTGTTAGCAATTAAAGCAAATTTTCATGATATTAGCCCGCTTACCTTCCGAGGGGAATTATCTTTTTGCAACAACAAGCTACTGATGTTAATCTAATTGTAATATTTACCACTCTCACCCACTAAACCCATCATATTGCATCAGAATAAAAGAAAAACAACGGGACTTCCATCGGCTTAACAGAAAATAGGAATAGGACTGTCGAAACATTTTAGTACAGCAAGTCTTAACCAGACAATTTCAGCATTGAGCATATTTTAATAGTAACATTAAACCGCTTTGTTTATCAAACTATACTACAATCTGTTAAATCAAAAGTCCTCCTCTATTAGTGCTAATTTAGGTTACAGAAAATCACATTAAATACACACAAAGTTTTACAGGGTTTAATAAAAATCTGCTCTCTAAAAAGATGCGAAGTATCATGATCTTTTACGGTACTCATCTGACGGCTTTATCAGTCCATCGTTGTAAGCGCGTAGTATTGACTCACACACGAACTTATACTGATTCTGAAATAATCCATTAATTATTTATCAAGTTTCAAATTTACCAAACATTTATTTCAGTAATAAACAGCAGCATTCCTAACGAATGCTCCCCTTCGCAAAAAAAGAAAAAGTTTGAATCTTTCACTAGACAGTATTGCAGCAGGATTTTACCGGTGTCTGTATAAGCATAGCTCGTTGATCTCGCATCGTTCTAACAATATCCAGTGGGTAGACTGGCTCATTAGCTTCAACCAGACAAGACGCTGTTTCCATCAGAATCAAAACGCCTGTTCTTCCAATGCCAGCACTACAATGTACAACAATGGGATCTACAGACCCAGCTCGAGCACGACGCACCTGTAAAAACAACCGGTTTTTTATATTTCTTTCATTTTTTAAGCTGAATTGATCAGTATCAGTAACAGAAGCCAATAACTCACTAACCTCTTCAACAAATTCAATGAAGTGTTTCGAGTCATCTGGAACACCATGATCTGGCCACGCCGTGTACTGCATCTGTGTGACTCGTCTTTCTTCCTTGGTCTTAAATAAAAAAAACTAAGTTAGGACACAACAGTCAAGACCTGAGCATAGCTATCGCGGTTTTTGGTTGTAAAAAAGCATAAATATCTCAAATAAAATTAGTCTTCATAAATGTTGAAGAGTCACGGTTCATTACTTACCACTCTATTTTTAATCGAGATTTCCCTGTAACAGCAGCTTGGTGTTTCTCGCTCACGAATACAACAAATCTGTAATTTACCGTAGTCGTGTGTTTCAAACATCCGAGGCCAGTACTGGTGGCACTTGATCCGGCCCCTTTCGACAACCGTGGTTAACATGACAATCACTGTGCAGAGCTGTTCCCAAACCATGTGCCAAAAGTCACCGCTAGTATGAGGCAATGGGCCTTGTGCAGCGATATAGCGGTTAACAATGCCGCTAGAAGGAATCTCCATCTAAAATTCGTAAAAGCAGTAGATTTTGAAACTTTTTACTCCCAAATGTTACTTCTATGGCAACTTTTCTTTTGTGAGAACATTACTTTGACCAACTAAAGTCTTAATTCACCCAACAGTCGGATGAGTAAATAAAAGAAAAAAAGGCTCACATTGACATAAGATGCATTAATATAATCTCCAGATGGCCCGTTTATTCGAACTCGTGTTTCATCGTAAGGGCAAACATCACGATACCTGTTCTTGTTAAGATTAGCAGCCGTTCGACAGTCAGTCATAGACATACCCTGTTTTTTTCGATAGAGTTGCTAAAAAATCAAAAATGCTTATAACTTATACTTCAAGTTGAGGAACTGAAAACAGAACTGTGTAAATGGGGAAAAAGATAAAAAGCTTCCCACAGAACCGACCTCAAACTGTGCAACTGTCTTCCCTGAATCCAAAGCGTCTTTCAAGAGATGTAATGATTCTGCCAACAAATTAGAACGAGGTACACTGTTAGAGACGTGCACCGTTTCAGGAACATACATAACATCTGGTTCGTCCACTTCATCACCGCATCGATAAACTTAAAAAATACTCTTATTAATAAAAAAAACTGTCAGGTGATTACTCAGTATGTAAGTATCAAAAATAACTCTTTTCTTAGACGTCAAATAATAAGATTGTTTTTTGACAACTGACTGTAACAGCACAAATTTGAAAAATAAAATTACCGTTTGGTTGCACGGTTAGTACAAGCTCTCCTTTCGGTGTCTCACGTGCGGATCTGATAAATCGAACGACCTGATCGTGAGGCATAGAAGTGACATCAACACCATTGATGAATAAAACCTAAAAATGTGTTGTAGTTAAAATATTGTCAAATATGATGAAAAAACAGCTTCCTCAAACAGTAATACTCTCGATGTCAGATAAAGAAACCGATATTACTGTACCTGGTCTCCTTCATTCAACCTGGGATTACACTTATCGGCAGCACTGCCAGTTGCCACTCGGCTAACAATAATCGGATGGTTCTGGTCCGCACCTCCTTTAACATTAAAACCAAACCGTCCCTGACTATCAGGCCTCATTCTTACGACGACAAGGCCATCTTCTATGACAGGAGGGGACTGAAATATTCATTTTAAATTTTAAAAAAAAAAAGTTAAAGACAACTTCCAAATCAAAAAGCAGAAATAGGTCTCTGTCTTAATAGATATGAGGCTTACGACAATTTAACTCGCAGAAATAAAAATGCTATGAAATGAGGCGCAACGAATTTACTTGTCGTGGGGTTTTTTTTGATCGTGTTGGGCTTGAATTGTTCACGCCATTAGAGCCGGAACCAGTTGAGGAGTAACTGTAAAACCATTTGAATAAATTTCTGACTGAAGCTAATATTGGTTATTAGCAGAGCAAATATGGTACTCGAGTGGAATTAAATCGCCGCACTAACCTTGCCACAGAAGATCGCTGAGATCCGCCATTTTGAAGTTTGCTGCTTGGTATCGACCTTGGCGAGTGATTCTTATGTGTCGGTGAACCAACTGGTCCACTGGGGACATAACGATTGACAACACTGCCGTTGGTGAAGCCATTTGGAGTATTACCTCCATTGGTTAACGACTGTTTACGGAAGCCATTGGTCACACTAAAATAACCATTCTGGTTCCGCTGATGAATGGCAGCAGATGTGCACGCCTGTAAAAGAATGTTTTCAAAAATCTAAATCTTTTAATAGTTTAACAAATGCAAAAAAAAAAAAAGAAAAAAAAAAGAGAAAATTTTATTAACTTTTAGGTGAAGCAAGAGTACTCCAATAACCCGTTCAGTTTACTTGTTTTTTCTTCTAAAATTTTGAAAGACAGTCTCAAATGTCCGAAATATTTTCTACTTTTATATATTTTTTTAATGCTTTAAAATTATTGCCACCATCTTGCAGACTTAAATGTTTGTGTTCTACAGTTTTTTTTTAAAACATATCTCAGACATTTATGTATAAGAACAACAAAAATACAAGCAGTACTTCTCAAAAAAGAATTTTTGTACGAAGCAACAGGAAATAACAGCAGGTAGAAGTAGGCGATGACTGAGCACGTGCAATTACAATGCACAGCTAAGAAGAGCTTCTCGTTAGCAAAGTAGTTTAAGAAATTGTAATAGAAAAAAAAAAAAAAAACGAGGAAAAACCTTAATCCAAGTGGTCAGTTTTGACATCTACTAACCGTCATTATTATCACCAGCTGCACTGTCACTGTTTGAGAAGTGCTAACAGAACTTGGCAACTGATCTAGTTGACCTATTGTAGTTCAAAATTTCAACAAGACCTAAACAGCAGCTAATCCATAACATTTTGCTTAGAGACGAAAACTACTGTTGCAGCAACCATAATTTTGATAACCCAACAATGTTTCCTATTCACTAGGCTCTGGTAAAAATTACTGTCTGACTGTATCAACAGAAAAAAAAAATTTTTTTTCAAACTATATCAACAGATTTCGTTAACTACGTGACAACCGTTTGCTAACCCACAAAGGGATGTATACACATACACTCCACGATGTGTTTACAAATATGCGGCAATAAAAGCAAAAGAAAAAAAAGAATTCATTTAAATAAAAAAAAAAAA